GTAACACAACGACGTATAATCCGGGGTTTCAAACCCTCAGGACAGTATTTACAATCATTACTTAACTCAAACCGACTAATCCTCTAGTTCGTGATGCCTTTGTCTATCAAATTGACCTCCTAATGCCTCGAATCTAGCCACAATAATTCAATTCAGTTAATAAAAATTATAGGAATTAATTCCATATGAAATTCTACATTTTCCATTAAAAATCCAAAATTGCACTCAAAATTCGCCCGGCGGGCCCACATCTCGGAACCTGACAAAAATTACGGAATATGCAACCTCATCCAACCACGAGTCCAACCACACCAATTTTACTAAAATCCGTCATCAACTCGACCCTCAAATCTTCAAATTAAACCAAGAGGGTTTTCAAGATTTTCCCAACTAAAATCACCAATTAAATGCCAAAACTAGTAATAGATTCGGGTAATCTAACCAAAATTAAGTTAAGAACACTTACCCATTGTTTTCTCTGATAATCTCCCGAAAATCGCCTCTACCCGAACTCCAATTTGGTAAAAATGGAAAATGAGATTCGTCCCATTTTCCAGAACTTAACATTCTGTCTGGTACTATTCACGGGGGTACTGTTCATGGTACTATTCACGGGGTACTGTACACGGTACTGTTCACGCAGGTGTGGTCACTATTCACACGTGTGAAAAATGGAGAAACTGCCCAGAAAATTGCAGCAGCTTTTCTTTTCACTAAAAAGGCTCTAACTCCATCATACGAACTCCGAATTCGATGATTCTTGTTCCTATGAGTCACAAATAATAATACGAACATAGCTCTTCAGTCAAAATTCAATTCGGAGCTCATTTGCTCAGTTCAATACCCATTTCGCTCGTTAAATAATTAACTCATGTTTCGTGTCAAAAACCCAATCGCGACTTGATGAAATTAGTCCAAACTTTCCAGATCAGTCCTATAATTCATTATCAAAATTCGATGTCTCAAAATCAAATTTCAATCTCTAGAACTAAAAATTGATCTTTGGATCATTTTGCTTATGCTCAAAACGACAAAACCTTCCAAAAACTCTTCCAAAACTTATCCGAGACTCATGGGACCCCAACCAAACATGCCAACACACCCCATAACATAATTCAAACTTGTTCCAACCTTCGGAACGCTCAAAACAACATCAAAATATCAAATGACCCTCAGATTCAAGCCTAAGAATTCCAAATCTTCCGAAATCCGAATTCAATCAAAAAGTCGACCAAACGATGTCCAAATGACCTGAAACTTTGCACACACATCACAAATGACATAACGAAGCTACAACAACTCTCGGAATTCCATTCTGACCCTCGGATCAAAATCTCACCTATCAACCGGAATTCGCCAAAATATTAACTTTGCCAATTCAAGCCAAATCCTTCCACGGACTTCCAAAATGCATTCCGATCGCGCTCCTAAGTCATAAATCACCCAACGAAGCTATCCAAATCATAAAATTTTTGATCCGAGCTCATATACAAATAAGTCAACTCTTAGTCAAACCTTTTAAATTCAAAACTTTCAACTGAGACTGTTCCTTCAAATTCATTCCGATTTTTCCTGAAAACCAAAACCAACGATCTACATCAGTCATAATACGTTACATAGGGAAAGTCATGCCCGGGAACTGGAGATCAAAGTGCAAAAGTTCAAAACGATCGGTTGGGTCGTTACAGTTTCAAGATAATTCTATAGTTACAAATAATCAAGCAACTAAAAGCGGTTTTAAGGCAAAAGTGTATAAATATTTCTAGAACATGAAATATCCAGAATTAGTTAAGCCATGTATAATTAGTAAAGCGACTGTACTAGAACCACAGAACTAGGAAGTGCCTCACACCTTCTCCTGTGTAAAAAGAATTCCTTACCCGGTCTTTTGTGTTTCTCATACTTAATCAGAGTCAATTTCCTTGAGTTGGGTTTAAATAAATGGTGACGTGGGACACCGAAAATATTTATTCCAAGTGGCGACTCTTTAAATCAAAATAAATTAATCCCTTTTCAAATAATATCACTTAAATTGGAAAAACTCTTTTCTTTCCTATCTCCTCGGGAAAAAGGAGGTGTGACAATAACCTATCTTCAATCGTTGCCGTTGATCTAAAAAGATCAACGGTCCACGTTCACCCTTACCTTAATTAACCCCTAACCTACCCGGCCCTTTTCATGTTTCTGAGCCTAGTCGGGTATTAGCTTACACGGTCGCTCATTCTTCTTTATTGGAGTGTATCCGTGATCGGCAGTATGATGATCCCTATTTGTGTGTCTTTAGAGACACGGTACAGCGCGGAGGTGCCAAGCAGGTTACCTTAGATGATGATGGAGTTTTAAGATTGCAGGGTCGAGTTTGTGTTCCAAATATAGATGGGCTCTGAGAGTTGATTTTAGAGGAGGCCCATAGTTCCCGGTACTCTATTCATCCTGGCGCCGCAAAGATGTATCAGGATTTGCGGCAGCATTATTGGTGGCATAGAATGAAGAAGGATATTGCTGCATATGTGGCTCGGTGCTTGAATTGTCAGCAAGTTAAGTATGAGCATCGGAGACCCGGTGGTTTGTTTCAGAAGATTGAGCTTCCCGAGTGGAAGTGGGAGCAGATCACTATGGACTTCGTTGTTGGACTCCCGCAGACTCGGAGGAAGTTCGACGAAGTATGGGTCATTGTTGATAGGCTGACCAAGTCATCGCATTTCATTTCTGTGGCAGTCTCCTATTCATCCGAGAGGTTAGCTGAGATCTATATCCGGGAGATTGTTTGTCTTCATGGTGTGCCTGTGTCTATAATTTCGAACCGAGGTACGCAGTTTACCTCGCGTTTCTGGAGAGCAGTCCAGCGAGAGTTGGGCACTCAGTTTGAGTTGAGTACAGTATTTCATCCTCAGACGGACGGGCAGTCCGAGCGGACTATTCAGATTTTGGAGGATATGCTCTGAGCTTGTGTCATTGACTTTGGAGGCTCGTGGGATCAGTTTTTGCATTTAGCAGAGTTTGCCTAAAACAACAGCTACTAGTCGAGTATTCAGATGGCTCCTTATGAGGCTTTATATGGTAGACGATGTCGGTCTCGGGTCGGATGGTTTGAGCCGGGAAAGGCTCGGTTGTTGGGTACGGATCTGGTTCAGGAGGCCTTGGACAAGGTGAGGATTATTCAGGATAGACTTCGTACAGTTCAGTCCAGTCAAAAGAGTTATGCAGACCGCAAGGTTCGAGATGTGGCTTTTATGGTCGGTGAGCGGGTATTGCTCCGAGTGTCGCCTATGAAAGGCGTGATGAGTTTTGGAAAAAAGGGCAAGCTTAGACCTAGGTTCATTCGTCTGTTTGAGATTCTTGATCGAGTGAGAGAGGTGGCTTATATACTTGCATTGCCGCCGAGATTATCAGCTGTGCATCCAGTGTTTCATGTGTCCATGCTCCGGAAATATCACGGCGATCCATGGTGACAAAAACCATCTTAAACTTTGATTCAGATGCAAAGATGCAGTTATAAGCTCCTAGTTTTCTCAAATTAAATAAGTAATCGCTCTATTCCAACTTATGTGACATAGTTTAACTAAACATGGAATTTAAGAAACAAAAACTTTTGAAATTTTTGGGTCTTAAATATACATAACATTCGAGAAGTTCAAAGTTAGGTTCTTTTCAGATATAAAAATGTATCATTCTTTTGGAAAGAGATTAACAAGAAAATAGTGTCACGCAAACAAGAATGAGGGAGTACCGTATTTTCTATAGCTAATCATTATCACTTTGTTAACAATAATATTTGCTTTTAGTCAAAGCAAGACAAAACTCTCGGCCTGCACTACAGCAAACGTGCCTTTAACACAAGATAAAACGAAATAAGCACGGAGAGAGGCAAGCAGAACATAATATCGCCCATATACCAATAACGATTACTTAAACTCAATCAAAAGGAACTATCACCGGCGTAATGGAATTAAAAAATACAGCAATAGAGAGGGGAGAAAAAACCTAGAGTATTGCTGGCAGAATACACAAAAATCCTGTCGTATACGACGTTCACGATAGGAGTTTTGTTCTTTAATTTACTTGTAAAGAATAACAAAGAAAAAAATATCAGACATAATAGTTTTAGAAGCCAAATATCACAATCTACTAAATTTTAAAACAAATATGTTGGCTCAAGCCTAAGTCCATTAAAGCAATTGCTACGCCTAGAAAATTAAATTTCCCAAGTGGACCAAATTTGGTTATTTTCTTCACTAGTGAAGGTATCCCGGGTTATGCCCGGGACCAACGACTATTTTAATATTGTTGTTAATATTGTTGTTAATATTATTATCAAATGTCACTCGCTTTTGCATTTAAATCCGGCATGTTGATTCTGCATAGGTGATATATTTATACCATCGAGTGCTATTTGCAACAGGTTGGCCATCTTTTTTGGCGAGTTAATGAGCAATCCAATGTATATGTATTACAACATCCAGATTAAAGCATAAATTTGTACAAAAATTTTAGACAACACAAATAATATGTATCAGATTATAAATTACTCCATCGCAATGGGAGAAGGGGATTGCGCTTGCTGTCATAGGAAAATGCATTGTACGTTAATGCCGTTTTGATATTTGTAAATCACAAATACTAAATTTACTCCAGCTAGTTTGGCAATAAAAGCACTACTTTACTGCAAGTGATAGAAGAAAAATAATGCAAGCAATTAGATAATTTTGTAGTAAAGCTATCAATACTAAATTGAAAGAACCCTGGTGTATAAGAGAGATCCCAGAATGTTGAATTTTCCTTGTAGTAATACCAAGCATACAATTCAAGTTCCAGCCTAAGCTCTACAGTATATCCTAGCTATATAAACATTTTATTTGTTTTTAATGAATATCTCAGTTGTTCGTGTTGTAACCAACTAATGAGCATAATATAATATAAATTCTAATGTTCTTTTGAATCTTCAGAGAAAAAGAAACATAAAAAAGAAAGTGAGCTTAGATAAATGCACTAGAGAGAGATATAGTCAGAGCTTTTATTTTCTTCATGTCAACAGAAAGCACATGCAGGTAAGTATATAAGAAAGGTGTTACTCTGTAAACATTTGAAACGGGGGTGTTTTTAATCTCCAAAGTTGTGAATAGAAATACAAAATAATACACATATGGTTTTATGATATTCCATAAGATCTTTAAAACAAATTTAAGCATCTACCACCAAATACGATAAAGAATCAATTAAACTAATAGATTTTGTAGATATTGGTATCTACTGATTTTGCTAAGTTACACCTTGGTATATCTGCACCTTCAGTAGCGGTTACATGACTAAGACAACAAATGAAATATGAAAAGACAAATTACCTTGAGATATGGCGTAAATTGCAATAGATAAGGAATTCAGAATGGAGAGACCTTTGTTTTCATGAACGTCAAGTTTTTAGTGATTCCCGGAGAGCAAAACCAAGAGCTTCAATTTGAAGTGGTGAGAGCTTGTCGAGCAAGTTCAAACGTCAGAAAAATAGCCTTTCAGTTGACGTACAAGCTGCAGGAGATGCCAACAATTTATATCAGCCTTCGAAACTCGGTGGATAATGGGTCCACCCTCTACCCTTCTCCACTTAAATACCAGGCTATGCTTTGCATGTTGTGGGGGCTTGAACCTTTGACCTGGGACGCAAATCCACCACCTTTTTCCACTTGAGCTATGCCCTCAATTATTTTAATGTTAAAAGGAAAAAAAATAGAGATTAAAATGAACCATGTTGAATTGAATACTATAATTGAAAAAATTGTCGGATCTGAAGATAATATTCGTTTGTCTTTACACAAAGTCATCTGAAACACAAATATTTATAACTTAACCCAATAGTTAAGATGAGAATGTGAATATGGAAGCAAGTGAGAAAGAAGTACACTATTTATATTCCTTTTTGTCTCATTTTAACCAACTTTATAATTATTTGAGCAAAGTTGTGAATGAGTCTGCTTCAAGCAGTAGTTGTTTCTTTTCAATAGTCTGTGAATCTTGCATATATTATGCCATTCAACAACGTTAATCTATTTCTTATCAGTTTCAGTCTCCCTTTCCTCAAAATTTAAACAACAAGAACATTTAAAATCTTTAGGAGATATACTAAAGAATTGTTCCTTTTACATGTTAGTGGCTTCAATTTTTCTCCTGTAGATGCAAAAACTCCAGTAAATTCAAGGAAATTTATTCATGATGTTAACAGTTCATAGACCAAAAGGACTTACACACAGCACAAAACAGTCCAAAAAACATCATAAGCACAACTATAAAACAGAATTTCTAACCTCTCTGGAGTTCAAATTAATACTCATAGAACCAAACTTAATTTGTCTATATTTCCCCTATTTTAAGGTTTCTTAGGCTCAGGCGGTGGCAATTTAAAATAGTAAAATTTCTCAACTGTCCTCGCCATTCTCAAATACTTTACTCCTTTCTAGTCGGCAATTTCTCAAATACCTCTAGTGCAAGTCTGGATGTTGTGTCTAAATCATAAACTTAAATTCATCCTTATTGCACTTTAAAAGAGTTGAAACATGTGGAAATTAAGATTAAATCATGAGAAGCGCGAAACGAAGCACGAAAAACAGAGGCATAATATATCACCAATTACGTTTGAATTTCAGACGAAAGCAAGCTAATCTTCCATGGAAGATTTAAAACAACATAAGGAGACATTCTTCACAGTGGAAACCAACACAATCTTAATCCAGATAACACTGATATTCAGAAAAGGTTGGATAAACAAAGGAAAAAGTCATTTTAGTCAGCTAAAGTCAACCCGGTCCAAGAGCTTCTTAATTACCCCAACCAGGCATGGTACCAAACCAGTAAAGGCATTCCAAAATTTCACATAGAAAACATGTTTGTATTCCTCATTTCAAAAAGATATGAATATAAATTAATCCTTTTCCTAAACAACCAATCGTTGTTCCAACCTCACCCCCATAAAAAGAAAACAGAAAACCACTGCCCAACAACTTTACATAATTTAAACAATTTCAATACGGCAAAACTGGAATTGTGAAAACAAAATTAATAATAACGCGTGCAACCCCCAAAAAAAGTTTGGATAGTTAAAGAAAAAAGCTAGACAAAACAGAACTGACCGTATAATTGTACGTAAATTGAGCAGTGCAACAGAGAAGACTGCAATTAATGAAAAAGGGAGGAGAAATTGAGACAGTATTAGAATACGAAGAAAGAAACTGTAGAGGCAGGTCGTTGAGTTTGATCTAATTACTAGGAGAATTTGATAGCAAACTCAAATTCAATTCTGGACGTGGAAACGCTGGGGGCAAATGGGTTAACACGTGTCTAACTCATGCAATTATGCGGTGCAATGATAAATCAAAAGAGAATTGTCTTTTTTGTAATTATACGGCAACATTCAACCAGTTGACTACAACTCTCCTAAGCTAATTCTCCAAATTACCTATACGACCCCAAGCTCCTCTCGTTAGCCATTTCTATAATAGTAGTATATAATAATTACTAATATATAGAAGCCGCTTGGGAAGCAGGTCAGGGTCGTCATTCCTGCTTACCAATGGCAATTTAGTCATTTCAAGTGCCAAGATATGGGCTTTTAAGTCTTTTCATTGCCTTTTTGAGTTCGGCCATATTTCCACGGGCTTTTGTCGCGCCCCCTTTTTTCTCGCGAAATCAGGTTTATGACATTTGGAAGGACAACTTATTCCTTTTGGGAACTGAATTTTGTATTTGAAGAGTCGCCACCTAATGATTAAGGTGCATAAGGACACCAATAGAGATTCAACTCTAAGTTGATTGAATAATCGGAGATTGGGTAAGGGCTTGAAATTAACCTAACGAGAAGGTGGTAGATACCCCTCAGGATCAACTATTGTGGTTTCCGGCCAAACAATTATTGTGAATTGGGGTGCAATTGACATATAGGCAAATAAGGCTCAAACAAGAGGGGATTTCAACACATAAAGAAAGAACATTTTAAAGAAGCGTGTTTTTAAAAAAAGAAAGAGTTTGCAAATAAAAGAAAAGGGTCCTAGGTTTATATTTAATATGGATCACCCCACACAATGTCCGGTAATCACTCCTCAATGAGGGGCTACACATGACATTATCGCGTGGTCATCATATCCATATCTACCCTTCCCACCCTGTTAAGGTATTAAAGCGTGGATTAGTCTCGATTACTTATTGCATGCTATTACCCATCCCATTCTTATCAGTCCCGGAGGCACTTAGGACAACTAATTCTAAAGGGAGGGATATTAGGCTTATTTGAAGTTTCAAAGATAAAAATTCTAAGGCGACATACAAAACAGACAATATGGCATATAAAGGGAAACATGTGAAAAGACAAAGGCTCAAATACACCTCCTTGAACAAAAGCACATAATTAGCATGACTTGCACATACTTTTTGGGTATGATTAAATACTAAAAATGAGGGGAGATTGGTTATTGAAGCAGATTAGTTTATTACATAACTCACGTAAGAAGTCTGAATCAGGCTTGCTTGCTGGTTGTAGTAATTAACAAAAAAAAAACAGATCTAGTTTTACAGTTATTACTCTAAGGCTTGCCTAAGTGCATATTGATGATACCCTATAAGTATGATATCTACTGAGTTCAGAAGGTGATGAGACAGTAAAAACTCGAAACGGATTATTTGAAATCCTATAGGCATGCTTGCTAAACCTTATTAAGTGAGGGAATTAGATTATTAAAAGGAGATTTAGAATGGACAAAATTAAACAGACTGGTTGCAGATTCTGCAAGTGATAGTATCTGTTATTACTGATTTTAATCCTTATGAACATGATATCTAACATTGACTGTGAATGAAGCAAATTAGATTTATTTAAGAGTCCCTATAGGCATGATTTCTATGCGTTACTTATTTTAGATTATGACATTGCATGTAAGTAGAAGTGAACAAAATTTTACTTATGGACTCCTATAGGCATGATTTCTATATGTTACTGATGCTACTGGGTTATAACCAATTGGGCTCTAAAACATGATATCTAGACGGTGAGAAACATGCAGAACTTTAGAATAAAATCCTATAAGCAGGTTATCTAGATGTGAAGTTGAACAAGAAGTCCTATAGACATGGTTTCTAAATGCAGCTTGCAGAATTGAAATACCCTATAGGCATGATTTCTAAATGTAGTTTGAATATGCAGAATTTAAAGTAGTCCTATAGGCATATTTTTTAAATGCGGTTTGCAGAATTAAAATACCCTATAAGCATGATTTCTAAATGCAGTTTGCAGATTAAAATACCCTATAGGCATGATTTCTGAATGCAATTGAATATGCAAAATTCAAAGTAGTCCTATAGGCATATTTTCTACCCTTGCATGCATAGTTACCCATACATTTTCACTAGCCAGCCCCCAAATGTTCATTACAACTTATTACAAACCAGGAATACTAAATACATCAAAGAAAGAATTACAACCAGAAGAAGCCTGATTCTTGACTTCTTCACTGAGTCATGAGATAAACCAACTCAAAGACCACTGATCCAAAGCCTTTCTCATACTTGAGTGTGTCAGAGTTCCCTAAGGGCCTCAACAGGACCCCGAGCAGTACTCACACCCAAGTTTCATACCAGAATAGGGATAAGTGCAGTGTGGAAATGCCAGTCCTCATGTGTCCAAGTTCAGAGTGAGCTCATGGGTCCCAAGGCAAGTCTCACATGAAGGGGGTAGAACTTAGGTCTAAGAGGAAAGTGAACGTGCAGAGACAAAGCTTTAAGAACTAAGGAAGTAAAGAAAGGGGGAAAGAGGTGCTGGGAAACAACTATTAATACTTCAAACAAGTTGATAATTTCACACCAAGGGGGAAGGGGTTTGGGAATCCATTGCAAAGAGCCTATATATTTAGGCATAAGTTAATTCTGGGCATGCACAACAATAGGGAGTGTTTTCATGCTTGTAAATAAACCAGAACACATAACATATAAAGGAAACATGGAGGTTATGATCCAAGGAGGATCAAGTGTGGGTTATGCTCAGCAATGTTCAATGTTGTCATGCCCCAAACTAACCACAAGTATTAATTACATTGGGGAAGGGATTTGGGACTCATAATACATTGATTCAGAACAGGAGAAAGGAAATTACAACATGCTAAATAATGATACTGAATTAAATACAAGTAGTTAGCAGACAAGGATGCAAGAACATTAAGTAACCATGTTGTTGTTGATGTTGAAAACTTAATTAGAACATACCAGTCAAAGAAGCAAAATGCAGTAAAGAAAGGTAGCAGGTCTTTGAAATATAACTTTGGCTTTCAGCCAGCTAAACAGGTCACAGTGCAAATAGTAAAGCAAGAGAGTGTTTGAGTGTAAGTGTGTGTTTAGAACTAAGTGTTCGTGTGTTTGTGTTAATGAGGGAGTATGTATATATAGTAGTTCGAAACTATGCAAAATAAGGCAAGAATCATAATTGTATAGTAATTATGGAACTTGATAACGTCCAAATCCACTACTAAAAAGTAAATGGACACGGTCACATGCAATATAATTTACCCAACCATGAGTCGGGGTCGAATCCTACAAAGAACAATGTGTAGGCGATTAGGAATGTAAGAAAATTATCGCTTATCGCGCAATGCCAAACACTAAGAATTTGGGTTGAAAATGTTTATAGCTAAATTGTGGAAATGTAAACTAACCTAGAAAGCAAGTAAAATGATCAATGGCTACAAATAAGGATGCATTAGGAATTACACTCAAGTAACGATCCAATGTATTTCACGATTTTACAAATATGTGTGAGTTTATGTTAATTAGCCACGGATAATAATTATTAATTAGCTTCTTCCGAAGACTAACAAGACCTCCTAATTGAATTATCCCTAAACCAATTAAGAGATTAAGTACACCTAGAATGGCAACAAGTAGTTCAATCCTATCCCTAGGTAGAATCTATAAAATGAGGGTTAACGCCTCAAGTTCTTGTTAATTAATCTTTCCCAACCCCAAATTATCTTTTCCAAAATTAATTCGGAGTTAATGGGCGAGTCCTAGGGTTAGCTAATCCCTTTGGAAACATTAAAGAACAAGAATAATTAAAGTAACAGTAACTCACTTCATAAATGAATAAAAATCATTCAATACATAAGCACAATAAGATATTTAATCCACATTTTAAACATGAATATTTTCATAAACAAGATTTAAGTATTGAATAAAATACTACACACTTAAATATACAATATAAAGCAAGGAAATGAAGAAATAAACATAAATGGGTAAGAAAATCTTAACCACAAGCTTCAAATCTTCAAGACCCAAGTGTGTTGTGTAAAAACCCTAGCTTCAAAGCTTGTTCTCTCTAGTCTATGGGACTGAAAATAAGCCAAATATATGCCAAAGATATGCTTGGTCGTGTATAAAAATGGTTTGGGATTGAGAAAATGTGAAATGACTAATTTGCCCAGTTCTGATGCTCGTCTTCCGCACCTGCGGAAGAATCATCGTAGGTGCATCTCCCTATATGCGGAGCTCTAATCGCAAAAGCAAAATTGTTGCGACCAAAAACACTCACGCAAGTGCACGTGATCGTCAAGTAATAGAGTAGTGAGTAGAGTATCGTTCCCATGAAGACTTATGATTAACTGTTGACTAATTCAAACTTAATTAATTTGTCTATTCAAGAGGTTTTTTTCACAAAATAGAGATGTAATTGTTTTACTACTTAACTACCAAGCAATAATCTAACTAGAGCAATGAACCAAACAAATAACAATTCCAAGTAACAAACAATAGGAGAGGATATTCCAGGGTCACAGGCTAGTTAACAATCGTGTTATGTTCTTAGCTTAAAATGACTAATCGATTTACCTGGATTGTTGATTGACAGAGTTAATGTTACTCATAAGAATCTGTCGAATCCTTACTCACCTATTCAAGTTAACTCAATGCCTATATGTCTATGGAATTAAGATTAACAAGAATGCATTTACAATTCCTATATTTCAACCAAGCAACGCAATTGGGTATATGTCTATCCTAATTGCTAATCTGATTCCCGAGGCCCGGGTTCAAGAACTTGATCTTTTTAATTCTATATGCAATCTAAAGTTTCCACTTTCGAGTTCAACTAAAGATCCATAGATAGTATTTCACTGTTAGCTACTCAGCAAAATAATTAAAAACAGAATTAAATAAACAACCCAATATGACAAACCAACTTCGTCAAATTAAACTTCAAACAACAACATTCATGTTTCACCCATGACCCTAGAACAATGGTTTTTAGCTACTCATTAGTGTTCATCACAAATAGGTTCAATTTCATCCCA